TTTTTTTTTTTTTTTTTTTGGTACCAGGGATGGAATTCGGGTCCTTGCACTTGCAAGGCAGGCGGCAGAACCACTGAGCTAAGTTCCCGGCCTTGTACACTTTTTTAAATTGAGTTTATTGATACATTATAGGGATACAGTACAGTTACATTCATTATTGGGATCTTGTATCTTTACATGACAGGTCTTGGTTGTCACTTTTTCCCCTTACCCCTACCCTCCCTTCATCTCCTCCTCCCCTCCCCATTTACAAACACTTTATTTCCATTTTTTCATTTTCTCATGTTTCTTTCCCTTATTACCTTTCCCCTAGGCCCTGTACACCTCTGTAAAGCCCTCTCCATATGTGACAAAGCCAGAGCTCTTGGAGGTTGTGCTACTTCCCATGCATCTTCCCAGGGTAAAGAGACGCCTCCCCAGTCAGTAAGAGACGCATCTGGGCAGTAGGAACAGGTGGAGGAGGAGCCCTTGGGAAACTCGGTTTGCCTTTCTCTTCCACCCACGAGTGATCTTTTGCCCTCCCAATTTAGCCTTCTTTAAAGTATCAGCATCTAACTCCTATTCACGTAGGGAAGCCTCAGCAAAGTAATGAATGCCCTGTTTTGTTTTAGTTTCACTTTCTTGCAGCGGCTCCAAGACCACTACAACTAATGCCCAGATTGGCCAGAAATCACCGGTATACATTCTCCCTGAGTAAAAGCTTTCTGAACATTTTTCTTAACTGTGACCCAGGTATCAAGGTCCAAAGACCCTTCTTCTGGAAACCAAGGATTTCGTTCCAAAACAGTGTCTAAACAAGCAGGTATATGATTTCGGGAAAATCTGCATTTTTTTCATGCACAGCAATCATTTAAGTACAAAAACTACGTTTTTCTCTTGTATAAAACCCTACATTTATTCAAATACAGTCATGTCATCTTTGGAACATTGGCCTGGATCTCTTGCAACTCCATTTCCTGTGGAGCCACCGGCCCAGCCTCGCCTGTCCAGCCCCAGAGCTCTCTTCTTGTCCACACAGCCTCATCGCAGGGCACTGGCCCCGCAGCTGCCAGTGATCTCATCCCAAGCATTCTTCACCCGTCACGACTCCTTGCGGGCTGGCTTCCCAAAGTTCCCATTAGATCAGTGTTAACCGAAGGCTTGCGGGACAGGAGCGGTGACAAAAAGGACGACGGCTAAGAACGGTGAGCCACACCAAAGCGACAAAACCGCAGACACAAAACTCCCAAGACACTTATTTCACACGAGTGTGTTAAGCACGTGCAATGTGACACACGACGTATTATGAGGATCCACACAGATGGCCACGTGCACTGCCTATCGAGTGTGCCCGTTATTTGTGCCCTGTGTCCGCTCTGGTGGTCCCTCGCCAGTAAGTCTCGAGTCTGTCCGTTTACGTAAATGTTTACCTCTGGCCAGGGATTTATCTCAGCGGTTCGGTGGCCTTCCTTGCAAGTGCAAGGACTCGAGTTCAATCCCCGGTACCCCCCCACAAATAAATAAATAAACGTTTACCTCACATGCAAAGGTGCCTGCTTGGGTATTTACAAAGACATTTATATTATCATTATTTTAAGCATTAATGTCAATAATATTTATATTTAATTATACGTTGATAGGATTTTATAATTCACTATGTCCATCACGTGTTGCAAAGGAGGTATTAAATGTGCCTCTGACTGAAGATCTTAACTAGGCCTTATTTTTGGGATAGGGCTTATATTTGAGAATCCTGAAGAAAGCATGCTAAGGCTTATTTTCCATTTAGGTCTTATTTTTGAGGAAATGTGGTAGCTCAGAGCAAGAGCTCTGGGTTCAGTCTCCAGAACTACACAAAACAAAACACAAAAACAGACACAAAAAACTCAGTAAGTGGTGTTTTAAGCCCAGATCCCTTTCCCGAGGCTCTTACTTTATAAAGGAACCTGTCTCCCTGTGCGCCGCAGGGAGAGTCCTACTGTATTGCAGCACTGCCCGCGCACTGGACTGGCGTCCTGCCTGTGTGTCCCAAAGCCAGCTTCTCTGAGGTCATGAGCCTGCCCTGGGTAGGGTTGGCCTCTGCTATCAGAGTCTTACAGCCACCGCTATCTCTGATGGACACAAGCGCCGCCTCATCGATGGTGCCCCAAGACCAGCCCTTGCCTGCAGAGTGAGAACCTAGACAGGCCTCCAAGGGACTGCCAAGCTCTCTGCTGTGTCCGTGTTCCCGGGTGGGAGGGGGTCTGGGCCCAGGTCCTCCTCCAGGGCAGGGTGTGCATGCTCTGAGGGGTCTAGATGCTTGGGGACTGTGAGGCATGCTGTGTGGACATGGGGACCCCTACTTCTGTCGCCCCCTCCCCTTCCAGAGCAGCCAGTACCAGGGCTGGGGTCCCACTCCCCAGGGGCCAAGGGCCCGGGCAGCAGAACAATCACAGGCCTAGCCCTGGGGAGCACGGTCGATGGGGGCAGCGGTCAACAGCAGGAGAGGCCCGCGCGTCAGGAGCGCGCACCGGGAGCGCGCACCCGATTGGCGGTGGAGCGCGCAGGCCGCCCCTGGGTCCACAGGCTGCCTAGGTCCCTGTCTCTGCGCCCCGGGTCCCAGCAGCTCTTTTCACTATCCCCGCGCCCGGGTTCCCGCTCTCCTGGACCCCGCGGCCCCTGTCCCGGTCCCCAAACCCCGGTCCCCTGGGCTTGAGCTCATGGAGCAGCTGCTGCGTACCGAACTGCGCACCGCGACCCTGCGGGCCTTCGGG